CAAAAGCGTGAATGTTGTTTTTTATAACCTTATCTTTCTTATAAATGTGTCTTGTTTGAACCGAAATTTAACGTCACGGTTTCGAACATTTGTTTGTATTTCCTATGACAGAGTATGAACAGAAAATATTAAATTTGTGTATCAAAATGGGCACGAGAAGAAACAACAGGCATCTTTTGAGTGAAAGACGGCGCAATGTACATTGCAAGTGTACGATGTGATAATTTAAAAAAATGATAATTTTAAAATAGCTTGAGCCTTTGCTAACCGGAAGCCAAAACGCATGATTATAGGAATCTTTGGAGGAATAAACAGTTTAGGACTGTAAAGGAAAAAATAGAAGTCAGAACATCCACGACCAAAATGCAAATGTTGTTACCATGTTGTGTACTTTAACTGCTAAATTGCCACAGGAGAGAAGAGGACATCGTCTGAGAATCAAGCTGCAAGTTGTTTATTGGTTGCATATGAACTCAAAAAAGTGACTGATGGAGGCGTTCAACTGGTTTTCTCTTTCTCGATTGTCTTTCCGCTATTAAATTGAGTCGAACTTACCGGATGTATGCCAGTTTACTTTAGTTGAACACTCCGGTAAAATAGGTTCTGATTTTTGTCAAACAGTCAGCCACCTAGAGTCAAGCGCAATTTTTTCTAAGTGCTGAGAGTGGAAAGCAATTTCACGTGGCACCATGCTCAAGCTCACAGAACATACAGCAAAGTCGCTAAGCCATTCTCTCTTTGGTAGCTCCTGTATGAAACTTCGTTTCGTGTCTTCCGTGACTCGCGAGTGTGGGAATCTTTCAGTTCCTGTTGCCAATTCCCTGGAGACAATCTGAGGCCCAATCTAATTGGTCGGTATTTTTTGCCTCAGATCGCATTACACCTTGCGTTTAGGATCGTTGAATGAAAGACGCAAATTTTCGTAAAAGTTTATCCCGTGGTTTTACATTATCCATGGTTTTGCTCTCGCTCCGCTCGCTAGGAAACCCGTTGAGGTCTACTTGTAACAAGTCTATGAATCCAGCTGTGTTTCGAGAAAGTGAGTTCCGGTTGTGTTTTTGGATTGCATTGTTAGAAATTAGTATCGAGTAAAGAACACACTACTCAGTATGGTGTTTTGTTTGCTATATATCAACGAAGAACAGTGGTGTTTTGCGTCGTAATATTTAACTCCTTTTAATTCTCATAGAATAAATGTTATGGAGCAGCGTGGTGTTTGCGATCGACTGAAGGAAATACCTCTGCAAAACGCCGAAAATCACGTGTATAGGCACGCATCAAATCAACAAACTCGAAACACAACATGCAGAAACATACAATATTGCTATTTGTTATGGAGTACGAAAAAGGTACAGTCGATTGAAATTACTTTGAAGTGAAACGACTCTTTCATTATTTGGTTTCGTGACACGCTTCACTTTACATATCAGATAAAATAATATGACGATGACACATATGAACATCGGAATGTCAACCGGCTCCGATTGAATCGGCAAAGTTTTTATCGTAATCGGAAACGGCAACTGGTGCCTATAGATCGGTACCGATTCCGATCAATCGGAAAATTAATCGGGTCCGTTTCCCATGATCGGGTTGCCTACCGATATTTGGACGCGTTCCCTTATAAATAAGTAGCATATTTTTTGTTCCATTTATTTAAAAAGATCAAGGGTAAAGTAAAAAATAAAAACAGACTTTAACTTGTTTTCGTTTTAATCCATACCTCCAAGCAAGCCTATTCCTTCATCAGAAATGTCATCTGATATTGCGTCAGAACAAATTTCTTCAATGGCCGAGTCAAGAATGGATGGGTCAAATATCTGGAAGGAAAAAAAAATCAGATTTATAGGAACAAAAAATAATACTTTGTACATAAATAAAATAAAAGTGATGTACATCATTGTCTATTCTTTTGGTAGCTATTATCTTAAGATTTAGATCATGACTTTTGATTCTGTTTGTTTTGTTTTTTTTGTTGTTGTTGTTTAAAAGTATTGTCATCAGTAAAAGACCCTGATTTGTTAAAACTTAGCAATATTCTTTTTAAACAGCATTGTGTTGATTACACTTAATGTATCTTCATTCACCAGAGGTTTAATTTGTATTATTCTATATATTCTTTTTACCTGAGAGGCTGTGGGAAGCTGAACATCAGAGAGACGTACGCTGGTTTCTTCACCTTCTCTGTTTATGACATCTAAACCCAGATCAGTCAAAAAGTTACCAGCACCAGACAATGATGAACTTTCAGGTGGTTCAACAATTCCTGAAAAAAAAGGAAAGATACATCTAATGTAAATCCACTATTTATCCCCCAGGTGGGGGGGGGTATATATTTCAAGCCCATTTGAGGAGGGAGGGGAGGGGGTTAATAGAGACAGGAGGCTTATTTGAGATGGGGGCTTATTTCATTTAGAAGAGACGATAGTATCAGTTCTCCATAAAGAACTAGAGTACAAAGCGGAAAGCTCAAGTGCAAGAAGGTTGGAGGTCATGCAGTCAAGGATCAGAATCAAATCTGAACTTCTGGTTGGTAAATAAACCATCCCGGATCAGTCCACAAAAGGTTTTACAGTTGTGATTGATTCATACAGACTCATTTATTAGTGAAGAATAATGAGTGGGGGGGGGGGGAGGGCTTATTAACTTTCTTCCCCTGAAAAGGGGGAGGGGGCTAGTTTATTGTTTGTCTCATGATATTGACAATCACTTTTATCTTCGTCATTGTTCACAACGTTTCAACCACATACTGCTGGTCTTCATCTACTGATGGTGTTGATTACAACCTGTATAGTCCAGACTATAGTATAGTCTTGCTACATGTACCACTCAATCAATTAACCTAGATTATATCAAAATTAACCTGAAATCAAATTTGAGCTGTAACATATACAATAATAAATTGTACATGCATGTGCAGAAAACGTATATGTTGTAGTCAGTGTGCAAAGAAAGTAGTGTCCGATAGCCCGGGGCTAGTGGATTTTGCTATTGGGCTAGTGCATTCTGTTTTTAACTTGCCTGACGGGCAAGTGATATTTTTTGAGGAATTCGAATAACAGAAGAGCTGTGAAATCAATTCTGCTAGTCAAAAAGTTTTTGCGCCAGTACCGGTCAGCGGTACTATGAGTTAGCATGCCTTTTTCCTGTTGTTCGTAGCCTGGCGTCCGCCATATTGTTACTGTTACTCGGCTGCTAGTTGTATCCCAGTTTGATTAAAGCCTTACACGAATTGGTCGTGCCTCGGTTCTTGCCTTATCTTCTTAACTGGCGTTGGGGCTAGTTGAAATGACGTCTGGGCTAGTAAATGCTAGCTTCAGCTTGCCCGAATGGCGAGCTGTAAAAATGATTTTCTTTGCACCCTGTGTAGTTAATTTTTTATCTCAGGTAATTTTGTTTTTCTTTTGTTTTTGGGTATGATAATGCTAACGAAGTTGAAACAAAGGAAAAATAAAAATTACCTGAGATAAAAAAATTAACTGCAACATATATCTTCTCTATCTTGGATTCTTACCATAGGAAGACAAATCTATAAATTCATCAAACCCAGTATCGCTTGTGCTTGTGCTACGGCTCACTTCAGGTTTGTCGTCACCCTGCAAAGTAAATATATGAAATGTTCACCTTGTAACAGGACGGGGCGGTCAGCGGCAGGAACGAGAAGGATTCAAGGATTTTTCCAAAGCAATTTATTTGAAACTCAAATCCATCAGCAATACAGCAACGATAAAATAAAACAAAATAAAATAAACGGGAACTACTGAAAGATTAAACCTTGCTAGAAGCAAGTTCGCTTGTTAACTTTACAGCTGCTGTAGTTTCTTCAGTGGCGTCCAAACTCAACTGAATTACGGCTAAAACGTGCCTCTACTTATACCAAAGTGTTAAATAATTTTGCACGCGGCAAACAGTAAAAGGTGTGTTGCCAAACCACACTAAAACAGAACGCCAGGATTTCCTTAGGTTAATCCTACTAACTTAAAAAGATAAGGTCAATTAAATGATTAAAATAATCTACCGAAAAGAAAAACCACGAAAGGCTAATATCCGCTAAGGCATTTAGGCAATAAGATGTGGGTTTGTGGGCACACGTACTATCATTCCTAAGCGATACACAAGCTTGCTAAATCAAACCCGGAAATTCCTAAGCGCAAAAATATTAGAAGTAAAATAATAGAAAAGTAGTATATTTCTTGATGTAACGAAAAGTAGTGAAATTCTAGGTCTAGTGACCCTGTCACAACCTACTCTAGACGAAGACGAAGAGAGACAGAAATTAATTGAGAACTGCAAAGACCTGAAGCAGAAGTTGAAATGGATCTGGAAATTTCACAGAGTAACTGCTAAGTAACTTATAACTGGCATGCATTAGGAACTGACTTGAATGATAATATAGAAAAGTGGTTAGCAGAGATTGGTGTCACTTGGAATCATTGCAGAGAGAATCCTCCGCAAACTCTCGGACACCGCAACGAGCGGTGGCTTGATGTTTAAGGAAGACTCCAGGAAGCCATCCAGAAGCTGTCGAGTTTAATGAGAATAATAATAAGAAATAATACTCCACCTTGAACAGATCAGGTCTATCTTACCTCACTAGAGACTAAGCTGCTAGGGTCTTCTTGATCATCTTCTTCACTATCTTCTGTGACTGTGGATCCAACATCTCTGAACATTGACCCGAAAAGCCTTGGAGGCATCTGAAACTGTCTCTCAACAACTTCATCATTTTCATTTACTTTCTTTGCATCCTTGTACTCTTTGGCACCTTCCTTCTTGTAGTAGTTCAGAAGGGCTGACCTGAAACCGTTGCTGATCTTTCTCCTCGACACTGCCTTGCTTTTGAACTGCAGGTTCTTTTTCGCCTTGTAGTCAGTGAAGCAGTCAAGGGCCCTGGACCAGTTTACAACGTAGCGACCCTTCTTGTTCACAAATCTGGCATCCTTTCCTTCCACAATCAGATCTCGTATGATGCCATACACACCATTCCCACCCTCATTTCC